GTTCAGAAACTTCACTATGACTAAGAAAAAAAAAAAAAAGATAGATAAAAACATTTTTTTTTTTTTTTTTGCCATGATTTTAAAAATCAATCTTTAAATACTAAACAATGAAAACCAATCGAGTCGAGTGGCAACTCATAACCGTAGCTTTTCCACACGCCTCGTAAACATACGTTCACATACGAATTTTGTGATATTATAACGTCTTAGTGATACTCGTCGAACGTCCCGTTAGGTACAGTTAATACGAATCGAATCTAAAGACCTACATGCGTACGTCTGGTATTGTGAGTAAAGATCCTGTGCTCCATGTCTATGAATACATGTGTGCTTAGATAGATTCCTGTCTACGTATGTAGCTGTACTTAGATGGATCTATGTCTATGTATGTATCTAGGCTTGGGTAGATCTACATATTTGTAAGCCCTTTGTTACGGACGTTGAGGCAGTGCTGAGACAATAAGTGGCCATACATTGGTATCAAAGCTACGCCGGAACAGGTTTCGCATTATCTCATGACGGACTTTGTTTATTCTTGATCGTAATTGTATCATTCCACCTCCCCCATTCTGGACTAAGGTTAAGGATGTGGACAACGCCTTCCTGCAGCTTTGTATCGATGTCTTACAAAATACCGGCGCATTTTTTCCATCTTCTTCCATTTAGTGTATGTATGTATGACTTTTTTAATTTTTTTTTTTTTTTTTATGGACGTAAGGGCAGCGCAGCGTACGTATAGATCTGTAAGTCAGTTAGTGTTTATCTACGTATTACGTACGTATCTACAGACTAAGACCTATACAGACGTAAGTATGTGCGTTTACCTACATTCAAACATTTACACCCAGCCTTGTTGTAAATTTTGCATTTATTACAAAACATTGCTTTCTAGGCATCCTTCACTGATCAAATCACATTATTACATTTTTTCCTTCTTACCTTACCTTAGACCTTAGACACCGAAAGATTTCGGTTTTTTGACAATAAAAACACAAAATCTATTCAAGTGATATCAAGGACAACTACATTTGTAGAGTACAGTTAATGACTTGACCGGAATGCTGATATGATGGTTAATGTGAACATTTACGCTCAATTGCTCGATCGCTTTATCTAAAAATATTGTTGGACGAAACTTGCATGATAACAGCAACATTGCTACAATGAGCTAGACACGGCGACGTGGATAGACAACTTATTAACTATTCCTGTCGTGACTACTATTTTCGTTACATTGAATATATTAACGCGTTAACATCTATTGGTCTATCAATGAAGCCATGCACGGAAGAAATTCTGCAAAGTGTTCTCAAAATATTTCGATCCTACTGTCTCACCCCCAAAAAGAGAGGTGAACTTCTTAGTTACTTTGATGACAATAAAAGTCATTACAAACCATTAACGACTTTCTAGGTCTTCGCAGAAACTGTTTGCAGTGGAATGTTTCACAACAGTTCATTATTCGACTAGAAAAGATTTCCGAAGAACGATAATAATATAAAATCTATGGTTACCAAGAATTTAATATTAAGCGAGGTTAGGTTGCGAATACGGGCGGATTGTAAAGGGCAGACCAACAGTTTAGTTAGGACAAACAATATCAACTGGATGGATTATTTCCTGGGCTCACTTATTTCAATCCCTATTCTCCCTATTGTGAAAGAAAAAATTAAGTCACTTATTTGGTTATTACTAGGAAGAAAATCTTCCTATAAAAGCTGCCTGACGCGTATGTAAATGTATCGGTTTTCTTTTTGTTTGCCTAAGTGAATCGCGTGTATTGAAAGATTCGGCCTAAATCGAACATGACTGTTTCCACGTCGCATTCCATGGTATCTTTTATTATTTTCATTTAACTTTTTCTCGTTTGTCTATATTTTTAAACTGAATTTGTTTTATCTAATTAGAAAAAAAAAAAAAAAAGAAGAAAAACAACTACGTTATACATAATTTAGTCTTAGAAGTTTTTTTACAAATTAAGTTCAAATAAATACTTGTCTCAATTTATTGTTATCTGTTAACTTATTGTTGATATTGTTGTTACTGCCATTATGTTCGTGAACAATTTATTTAAAATATGTAGAAATCGTACCAGAACAGTAATTACGAATATGAAGCGGAAATCCTCTTCTTTGAATGAAGTTTGAGCGGCAGAAGTTGTTGTTGTGGAACTCTTTTTTTGATTTTCTGTAACAAAAGTGTTATATATTTTTCAGAATCAATGATAATTGAATAATAATTCCTCTGGAACACAAAAAAAAAAAAAAAATTAAAATTCTTTTTTTCTTTAATCTTGAAGCAAGTAAAAACACTATAGTGTGACAGGGCCCATCATTAAATGCCCTACACCACATCGCTTAAGTTAGTAGCCGCAAATGTAGCCTTAGTACAGGTGCTAATAGTAGTAGTCGCTTAGTACATATGCCGGCGTAAGGTGTTATACAGGAGGTAAACGCAAAAATAGTCTGATCTGAACCATTTTCAAGAGCGTTCATCCTTGGGCCAAAACAAAGTCGTTGTATCGTATGTCACCAAAGCATTGTCAAAAATAGCGATTTGGAGGTTGACCACAAATGGGCAGACGGACAGACAGTTAAAGCAAGGCAAGGGGTGAGTAATCCCTATAATAAAATGAAGCTGTTGAATCCTTCTGCACAAATTTAATATTAGCCTTACGCGACAAATGGGGTAGGGTACAACAAATTATTAGATAAGCTAAGGAAAATCTATATATAGAAAGGTAGAGTAAGTTAAGTTGCTAAAGCACTTGTACAACATATGCAATAAACTCAAATACATTAAATATCGAACTCAAAAGATTATCATATACAGCGAGCATATACCGTGAGATGGGCTAATCTTATCGGAATTTGTCGCATACGCAGTATACATAGCATAATTTTAATACTTATCATTGCGTTTAGAAAATACCAAATCTAGCAACTTAGTTTTTCTTTAAGCGGCTACAAGCATTGTACAGCAATTGACATTGAACAAGTCGCTTCCTAAATCGAATTTCGTTTGAATGCGGTCTGGATACGCATTCTTCCTAAATTTTGCTTTTACTTCTTTTGTCCGAGATGTGTTTTTACTTTCACTTTATTATTAAGCAAAAAAAAATATTTAGGAAAGGCGACATACATATCGCTTTAATAAAATACCCATAATGCTTTAATCGACTCTAAGGACTCTTTGCCGTTAATGCAAAAACCTTTGATCTTTCCTCAGTCCTTCCTCTCGCGTTTTTTCTTCGTCACACTTTTTTTATTATTTTTCAAATTGCTATGGAATTTGAGGTAAGAGTTCATCATTAAGGGTTTGAAGTTTAGCTCTATTACAGAGAGTAAATTAACATAAATTAATTACAGACTTATTTAAGAATATTACGTTTTTGCATTGTACACATATACGAAATTCACACTGTTCCATTGTTTTACGAAAGCAAAAGTGCGTCACAAACAACTAGCTCCGGTAAACAAATGAAATTTTAATACATTTTGTTTAAAGGTTGATAATATATAGAAGATATATGAGTTTGTTAGTAGTAGTAGTAGCGGCATATATACGTCATTCTATTCCGGAAAACATTCTGCTTTCGCTACAGTTGAGAGCACGTGCGTACTTGTAGCATACCGCGTAAATGGTAAACTTATGCATTGATTTCACTCTGGCAACGTATTCAATATCGATGACTTATTGCTCTTACACTGGCCAATTTTGAATTTATCCAAATTATCTTCGAATTGAAGGAATGTAAAATTTTAAGTTATTATGCTTGCAGTTGAAAAAAGGTAATGGCAAGCGAAAATCAAGGCCCGTAGACGGGTAGTCGTAAGGAGTTCTACGGTTTTATTCCTTGCACTTGCAGACTGTGCGATCTTAAAGCCTTCTTTCCAAAAAGCAAGGCCAATATTGAAATTAAAATTTGTTTTTGCTTTCATAAATACATTTGCAACAAAAAGAATGTGTAAAGAAAAGCAAGTCAAATCGTAATGCGAACAAATTTGGAAAATTCAAAATCCGCTAGACCTCGTTCAGACGCTTCGAAAAAAGTTCGAAAAATTTCAAATTGTATTTTAATCGAAGATTTTAAATAACTCTTCATATCCTCAATGTGTTATTCGCAAAATAGTAAAAAATGAATTAAAAATATTTACACCCTAGATACTATTTGTGAAATGGTCCGCACTATTTTCAATAGTGTTCTGCCTTGGATCAAAACAAGCCGGTGTACCCAATTTCATCAAATCATCTCAAAAATTACGATTGTAGGTTGAAGACAAGGAAAAGAGACGGGCAGAGGAACAGAGTTTTTTTGGACATTGCATACACCCTCACAAACTTAATATACCTATGTACTGTAAGCAATGTAGGATATAAATATCTGATTAATGCAGAGGTTCCCTAAGTTCATGCAAGATAGTGCGCAAAAGTGATTCAAACTAAGTTCATAAACTGTGAAGATATGAAATAAAAAACTTTGGAGAGATTGGATCAAAGAGCGATCTTGAAACCTCTAATCGTCCTTCAACAGCCTGCAGAAGATCGAAGAAGTCTGCGAGAATTCTGCTGAGACTCCAGCATCAGTATCAATTCGGCACCGGACTCGATTCCGAATTATATTCCCCTTAAGATTAAGATTAAGATTAGATTACTCTTACTAAGTTCAATTGGCTAAAAAGCTGCAGTCTCCTCATTACGTGCAACCTTTTCAAGTTCCTTGAATGTAGTTTCAAACAACGACACGTGATTGTTGATACTTTGAACACAATACTAAAATGTATGTGGGCCTAGTGTGTGTCCCTAGGGTCTGTTTAGCTGATAAGCGGCTCCATACGAAACCCTTTACACCCCAGTACACTTTATCAATCAATAAGAAATTCACAATTTTAAATGGTAAGTCTGTGTTTTCGTCCCTGCCTTTTTCGGCATAGTTTAACTTACCATCTAACGATTTATCCAATAAACGAGATTTTGGTACAACAGTCTCTCTGGACTCCAATACTGGTATTCTTTGATGTTTATCACTCTCCACGCTTTCCTCATTACTCTGCCAATAAACTGATGATATTTTAGCGACACACTGTAAACGAATAAAGAGGAAGATAAAATGGACTATTGATTTTAGAAATTCATGCACTACCGAAATGCTCTCAATGACTAATGAAATTTGCAATTTTATTGAATAATGATTCTGCTGGTGCTTTGGAAACACGAAAGCCACTAATCTATTTAATTATTCTATACTATTTCGGTAATGTTTACTGTTTATGGTTATATAATTATATAAATATCCTGTCAACGTGTTCGTAGGTTTCTAAAATCTACTAACACATTTCATTATCTATATAGATGCGCTATAGTTGCATACAACTAAACCAACGCATCCGTACTAAGCACACATGTTTGTGGACAATAGGAATAACCATCAAAACCTCAACTTTTGCCATATTACGCAATTATATATATTTACGGAATTTAAAATGATTGTTGATGATAGATACACTTCTATTAAATATATAGATGGCGCTACATATAGTAGAAAATGGTGATTGAAGAGAATGATTGGACTAATACTCGAAGACATGCAAGGAATTATTTCTAAATATTAGTTAACGTTTTAAAGGATAAACGTAAAGATAATTTAATTTATGCTCTTTGAGCCGACACTTATATAAGTGCAACAAACTCTAAACTGCACGTCTCCACTAAAGCACATAAATACAGCAAAAATTTGTTATTGACACATTTTAATTTATGTGCGGAATATTTGCAACCAGTAACAGTGACTACATTATGCCCGAATCTCTTTGCATGTGTGCTAAGCTGAATGCATTTTGACTTACCTTTAATTTCATGTCGCCATGTTTGAAATGTCACCCACGTACACGAAATTCTAATCCTAGCGTGGCTACTTCAAGACCTTCGCGTCCGACGAGTTTTGGTTCATAGTAACGTAAAAAAGAGCGATTTGCATGAATCCCGTTAATCAGCCAACTCAGATGACAAATAGGTTTCGATGGTGCCGAAGTACAATTTACGCGTACCATGTCACCAATTTGATAACGCGGCTGACCGCCAGTAATTTGTGGTCCTTTCGTTGGTGTAACTGTAAACAAAAGCATGTTTTTTCATTAACACGTACACATAGTTCTTTTTTTTTACACATACACACACACACGCACACACACAAACACACAAACACACACACACGACGAATGAACGAAAGGAATAGATGGAGTGATACTGTAAACACAAAAGCGGGTGTTAATGTAATGTAATATATTAAAGCTGCTGCTACTACTGCTGCTGCATTATAGGTTTGTGTAAGTCGCCAGTGTGCATATATTATGCATGCACCGTTGTTCCCTTGTTTTTTTGTTTTTTTTTTTTTTCTCTCTCTCTCTTTGTTTTCGGTCTCGTGTTTTTTGGTTTTTGTTGTTATGCTAAAAGGTTTGCGCGAGGAAGAGGAATAGGGGGAGAAAGCTCAACTTATAAAGTGAGCATCACATGATTATAATGTTTTCTACGTGTTTGTTTAGTTTAATGGGTAATTTCGTAAAATACATTTGTGGTCTGAAAATGTGTATTTAATTAAAATTAATTTTGTTGCGCAGGCAGGTCCGCTTATATACACATAGGTGAATGCTGGTCTAATATATATACCTGTTTTTATATATATATATGTATATATGTATATCCAAAGCAGACACATGTGCGGGCGCTTCTAAATCCGTGGTGCTGATATAAATAAATACTAAACACATCAACACAAACTACGCTTGCTTTCGTACAGTTAATATTAGTTTTAATTAGGTTGTTGCAAAATATTTTAACAAAAAAAAAAAAAAAAACTAAATAAAGAAAAAAAAAAATGAAAAACATAAAATATTATACCTTACAGGCTTATGTCGTCTGTTAATTTGAAACGGCAACAAGAGTATATGTCGAGTATAGGAGACAGACAACGTTATGAGATAACAAAGAGCTTAAATTTCATTTGCACAGAGAACAGAATACAAAATAAAGGAGAACGTTTTAATCCTTTTCGGGTTTTTGCATTCGATAATACATCCCAAGTTCACATGGCTAACAGGTCTTGCATGAGAGGCAAGCATAAGCAAATAAAACAGAATTTCTAGCACAACGTATATGTTCGCTGCACTGTAATGGAGACTTTGTCCTTCGTACTTGGTTTCAGAGTTTCCTGATTTTCCATCCGCATGAATGTAATTTGCATGCACACAACATTGCCTATGACCTCCCCTTCGATACTTTAAAGAGCATACAAGGTGAAACTAAGTGAGGTTAACTCGAAATTAACTAAACAAAAGTTCTTTCTTTAATCTTTAATCTTTTAGTAGAGTGTGGTAATATTTTGATCTCTCCAACCTATCCGGAATAGTGACATATGTTTTTTTGCAGAAGTTTAATCGATGTAGAATTTCTTATTTGTGCTTTATTGTCACTACTAGACTGGCGTAGAATTAACCTAACCATTCCACGTCCAAAAAGATGCCATTCTCTACATCAGCACATGGACATTGGAGATATAGTATCGTGAACGAATTTTAGTGTTTTTCTTCGTTGGGCTTTATAAAAAGATGGTCCCTACATAATAAAGGCTCTGCAGGTAGCGGTTGTAAGGCCTACTCAAGAGTATGCGTCAATTGTCAGATAGCGGTGGTATAGAATATACGGTGGTGTACAGCCTTACGTATTCCACTCTATTAAAATCGCTTGAAATTATTTGGTTTACCCGTGCTTGAGAAAAGAAGGCACATGTTAGGAATGATGGACGGGAACATTAGTTTCCCCTTTTTCTTCATCTCAGCTTTCTAGGCACAATGTTCCAATTAGGTTTTGCTCAATGCCGCATAAATTGCGAGGGTTTTTTTTTGCCGTTCCTTTGCACAGCTTGTAAAAATCTGACCGACTTCTATATACAAGTTTCCTTTTCTGATTCGATTCCTTTCCTTTCCTTTAAGAGAAAATTTCTAAGCCTGAACTGAGCTATTTCTTGTCAGTTGTACTCATGTGCTTTTATAAGACTAATGGCATATATTAACGATAGCATTAAGGTTGGCGTAAAGTGCTCACATATTTTTTATTTTATTTTTTTTTTTTGCTATATCTCTTAAAGTTAGATGTAACGAAAGATATTTTTATATATAATAATTATATTAGCTGAATGGAAATAAGATAAAAAATTTTAAAAAAACTTTGTGAAAAATCAATCTGCAAATTCGATATAATGTAATGTTTACATAATTATAAAAAAAAAAAGAAAAATGACGCACTTTCTACCCGTTCCCGGGTATTCGCGAAAGTAAGTTCATAGGCAAGCTTATCAAGCCATTGTTAATTTCTCTGCTAAAACTATGCAATGCCACTTATATTTATGCAAACTTCCATGCTTGGTAAACCAATGTTTTTGTTACTCGCTTGATTAAAGCATAAGCAACCGCAGGATATGAAATTAACTTTGAGAATATTCTTAGTATTTTACGAAGCTTTACGCTCGATAATCAAACCCACCCTAACACATGTTCATATCACACATACAGGGTGGCCCCATAGCCGCGCGTGAGATAGTACATACACTGTAAAGATTTCGAGAGACATGTCCTGTTGGGCGTTGGTGAGAGTTCGGCGGCATCAATTCAGCATCGTTGTCAAGAATCGATCACTTCAAGCGTATTTAACGAAGATTTGTACATTCATCCTAACAAAGTTCAATTGACTTAACAGCTGGAGCCTATTGGCTACGCACAACGCTTAGAGTTCGTTGAATGCGTTTTCAAAACACAACAGGTGCTTGCTAATTTTTCGAAAAGACTCATGCTACATATATACTGAAAGGCTTGAAGACATTTTACCCAATAGGCAATTCCATACATTATCTTGCCCTGCATACTTTGTGAGTCAGTAAAAAATTCACATTTTTAGTTGTAACCCCAGTTTTTTACTAAAATTGCTTCTTGAATGAAATTTAGGATGCCCTTTGTGTGTCGTCCATCAGTGGCGAAGTGAAACTAAAAGACAATTGTACCAATGAAAAAATCAGTGCCTACGTGCATCCGAACTCGTATTAATAAATAAATGCCGATGCTTCGTACATTCACAACTACATAGCTTATCCTACATACATACACACACAATTAAAATAAGTAAGAACGTTATAGTCGAGCCAGGGCGACAATAAGGTACTCTACACCACTTCACCTAATAGAGGTATTCACTCGTTTTAGTAACAATACCACTACCATGAAGAAAAACAATTAACAGTTCGGCCTCTTCCTGCGAGTTCTTATACGCGATGGTATACAACAAATAGACCTACCTGGTCTAAATTTGGTAATGTTGACTTGTGTGTTCATTTACTATTATGAATTAATTTTCACCACGATGTATTAAAAGTCTTTCTACTATATAAAGATCCGGAATGTAGGAATGGTTATATGAGAAGGGTTCAAAAAATTGCTTCCGGCGAATGTCGAAATACTATTAAACAGTGACTTTTATCGAGAAATTTTAAAAATTGCCATATTTTCCGTATAATGATTTTTTAAGGTAAGAGTTTATATGGTGAGTGGTCGGAAAAGTGGTCCGATCTGAAGCATATTCAATAGCGTTTGCCCTTGAATCAGAGCGCGCCTGTATATCAAAAATATGAAAATATAGCAAAAACTGCGAACTGTTGGATTTATGTGACCAGATATCAGACGGACAGACAGGAGTGGATCGAGAAAATGCTTCTGTATCGACCGGTATAATAAAATTTGGGTCTGTCTTAAGCCATTCATTACATATGTCTGCAAACACTTAATATGTCATGTACCATAAGTCTAGGGTGTAGTAATGGAATGTTTTAACTGACATGTTTGAATCCGGTTCAAGGATGTCTGAAGTTATTATTGTTTTTTTTAAATGTACGTCGATTGAAGGATATGCTCTGTACGAGTGGAAATAGGACGTGTGAGACCAACGTTCAATAGTTAAAAGGCCTGTCTTCACCGATGAAGCATTCACTACCACGGCGGTTGCATGCCAATCGACTTAAAGTATGCTCTACTGCACTGCGGATCGAATCCGGCAGCACCGAATGTTGGTGGAGCTTCTTATTTGCTACGCCATGCGGTAACCCAATATAAGCCGTAAATAGGAAACCATGGTCGAGATCCACAATTGTGTAAGAAATGTCTTGGTAGTCAATTACTTGCAAGTTTTCTGGGATTTTAATACAAACACTTAAAGAAAACTATGTAAAATTTGATTTATTATAGACCTTTGTAAACGTTTAGGGCTTGCGAGAATATTTCCTCAGATGAATGGTATCCAAAAATCTTGAAAGACACGCTAGTCTTAACCAAGCGTTACATTGATTACAACTCATAGCTTCCTTCTCTTTAAATCTAACATGCAGAGTAAATATTTGTAGTGAGTAAAAAGTAAAACAAAAAAAAAAAAAGCATTTCATCTGATCTGAAAAATTTCTAAATTTTCTTCATAAAAATAAATATTTATGCAGTTCACATAACTTGGAATTCTTTGATGCAAATCTAATGTTGAAAAATGTTTGCATGAGGAAAAAAGTAATAATAATTAGCGTTCAGGAGAAACTTTTCATATAAATGCCTTCATTCGCCCCCACCACTAAGCAAAAATTTAGATTGGTAGCCAGTAATGAAAATAGATGAATGAGTTCTCTCGCTCTGTAAAGCTGCGGCTATGTCATAATCATCATCAACGTTCTTCACCACACTTAGAAGTTGGTTGAGCGGTGGTGATGGTGATGGTCGGTGGTACTTCAACTAAAAGTGGTAACTAAATTGTATTAGTTATGGTTGCTTAATATTAAGTTCACTCTAAAATTGTTATTGCTGCAATTGCCGGTGCTGCTGTTGTTGTATACGCTTACACGCACGCAAACATTATTTATGGGTAAATTTTCCATTTGTATGCCAAGTGGCGAAAGCAACAACAATAACAGTACAGAAGCAGCACAGGCTTGTTATACTCATTTCATAAACTATCTCTAAACTCTTGTCAAACTTAATATAGTTTTTCGTGCATGATCTTCCTTTTTCGTTATTGTTTCTACCTTCACCGATCCAACCATTGAATTGAATGTTTAATGAATTCCTTACGCCGCGGCTTAGCAACTATATATGTAAGTGATGCTAATTAAATTTATTACTTTGGAACGTGTATCTGGGAAAAACTGTTTTCCATCATTTATGAATGTGCGTGTGTGCAGTTATGAAGAATTTACGATATCCATGTCTCCCTTTTTATATGTTATGTGCTTGTTGGGTCATTCAAGCAAACATACACATACGCATTCATTTACGTAATGTAACGTTTGTCAGTCAGTGCCTGTGCACTTAATTCACTTATCATAGTCAAATATAGAAGATATATGTATGCAAGTTTATTGTTCTTATATTCAACTTACCGACAACAATCATATCCTCATGGCCGGAAACAGTTTGAAATGATGGCGCTTCACCGGACACTTCACAACGATAACGACCTGTTGATTGCAATGTGACACGATGTAATACCACAACATTGTCTGTTGAATTTTGTAACTGTTTTGTTTTTTTTTTTTTTTTTTTTTTTGCCCCATAAAAATGAAAACAAAAAACACGAAAACAACAACAATGAAAGTTATTTAGAAAAGTTTAATTCTATACAAAAAAAAAAAAAAAAAAAATTTGTATCATAATAATGTAAAAACTTAAGCTTACATCAACATCAACACCGGGCAGGGGGAAAACTTGCCCCGGCGGCATGTCTCGCGGCACATAACGATAAAATTCAAAACCATCCTTATACCATTTGACTGAATATAATGATTCGCCATCCAAATCATATTTACAACCTAGCACAGCATCTTCATAACGCATGATGTGTTTCGGTATACGCACTTCAGTCATTGACAAAGACCAGCCGGAGGCTATGAAAAAGAAAATATGAAAATTATTTCCATTATAGAAAAATTAAAAACGGTTTTTGGGTCAACAAGATGTCAAAGTGAAACTTTTATAAAAAAAAATATATATATATATATATATATATATATAGATAAATATATTTTCTTTCTTGTAAATTCATAAAAGAACCAAATAAAGTGGAATGAAAATCATGAAAATGAAAACAGAACGGAATAAAAGATTAAGTAGCATGAGAAACGTAAAAGAAACATTAAAAAAAATGCATATTTAAAGTAACATAAAAAAATCCAGGCGCTCAAGTTTCAATTAGTGTGTCACGCTATGACCAAGCAACGAAAAATATGTTTCTTTTCACTGATTATTTCGTATTCGATTTATAAAATTTTACCGTCGCAATGTCACAACTCCTCACCAGTCTACATTTCCAAGCTGTATAACTTCCTTATTGTGTATTAATATCGACTGTCATTTGCAATATTCCGGAATGCGAATCAGAAACAGAGGTAAAGCTTCTTATTATGATAAGCTAAAACATACTTGACTGATTGTTAATCCGCCAGTTACATTCACTGTTACAACTTTCTGTCATTGTGAACGGGAAGCAACTTACTATAAAACCACCCTTCATTCACCTTTCAAAATAAATATTCAAGGCAAGAGCTTAAAAAAAAGAAATTATTTTTCAGTCATTCGCTGGCTGAAGAGGGATGCGAGTAGCCACCTAACTGTAGATTTCTAAATTTATAAACGGAAGAGTAAATGTAATTCTCCCTGTCTATACAGTCCGACCCGCCGTCTAAAGTCGCTCGTGCCCCTGGCACTTGAGCTTTACGGTTCTTATGAATTGCGCCATCTTATTACGTTCTTAACGCCTTAGGTTATTCGGCGCTACAAAATGTTCGCCAAACACGTGGTATCTGATTCTGCTGAGATTGCCGTGCATAGGAGGTGAGGGGATATATCCATCGCCATTTCGAAGAAACTGCATAAATCGGTATATGAGATAGTCATATATTTCAGGTGAACTGATTCAGAAATCAGTTACTAGACGCATGTCGCTCCTTCCTACTTTAGAAAGATAGATAAGCGGATGTAAAGATAGGAAGAAAGCGGATAAGGAGACGCCTAATTAAGACATAGAAGCATTCAAAAAAAGTAATATAAATCAATGATAGAACACATTTTTAATAAGAGTTTGAAAAAATTTCATTTATTTATTTTCTTATTTTTACATGAAGTTCATCCAATAAAGTGACTGCTAAGTATTAAGACCAAACTACTACGAAGTATATAAGCGAAAATAAAATAACGAGAACAATAAAATTCATGTGCAATAAGCAAAAGAAATTGGAAGTGAATCTATAAGATGCTTAGCCTAACCAAAGCCAAACATTTCCATAAGAAGACAAAGACATAATTAGGTCCCAACACAAATTCCTAAAGGCAAAGAACAGAAAGTTGCTTTTAAAAAGGTCCCATTAAGTCTACATAGCAACTTTATTGGAAAGAGACCACACAAAAAAAACATCCCTGAATATTGGTCTCACTAAGCTTGTATATAGTGTTTTTATAACGTTAGAATCGCCAGGCTCTTCATACCAGTGTTACATGCAACCAAACGCTGACCAAGCTTTACTTAAGGACATGTCAATATGCAAACTAAAACGTAGTCTTCGTTCGAAGAAAACTCCCAAGTCGACGAACAAATCTACATTTTACAATCTTTGTGAATCGAATGAAGTTCTCCAGGAGAAAGAACACTTCTTCCATTCTTTTGGATCTCATCAAATTTAGTAGTAAGCCCACAAGCAAAATGAGTTGAGTTAAAAAGATTGACGAGGTCTAAGAAATGTTGGAAGCGAAGAGAAAACGAAGCGCAGTAATAATAGATATAAGTCCCGACAGAAATGAAAATAATGAAAACATTAGGGATGTACCTCTCTCTTGATTAGTATCAACAGGTTCTTTTTCGTTTATCATTCAAAAAAAAACAAAGAAAATTGTACTCACCTTTAGAATAAAAATCTAAAAAGACTAAAAAAGGAGAGAACTAAACTTCCACACTCTGTAATATCTGTATATGTGTCTCTTGTAACGGGGCAAACGACCCAAAAAGCCGTCCCATTTTCACTATCAACCTTTACGCAAGAACGTCCAATATTTTTGCCAAATTTCGCTCTTTCATGGATACATTTACCACAGCAGTTCACAGGTAGATGAACAGGTGAACTGATAGACATTTCTAGAGCAACTCAGATTTGATACCATTCAATTATATGTATTAGTTAATATGTTCCCTACAGCTTCTTGTTGGGTACTGATAAAAGAATGAACTGTTAAGATTCTATAATATTGAGTAGGTGTGGCCAATTTTTAACAATTTTGAGTAGACGCTGCAGGACCACCCATAGAATACAAATGCAAATTTTTATCACACCAGGCACTGGTTTATAAGTAATGAGGGAAAAAACACATTTTTGTGACTTTTCAAAACCGAGGTGATCGCTGTGTACTGATGTACTGTAATCATGTCCTTTGACCAATTTCACGCATTTCCAATATCGAGTTAAGGAACTTTGTGGCAAGTTTGAAGCCGAATGCTGCATTTATGCGACCAGGAGAATACTACCTTACACAGATAGACAGCCAGACAGCCAGACAGACAGACAGCCGGCCAGACCCACATGCTTAAATCGGTTTAGTGTTTGATGCTAATTAAAAATATTTCAATTTTACGGGTTTTTTGAAACTTCACTCTGGATGTTGCAAACGTTTTGACAGAATGCTAGGATGGGAGTAAAGACAGTAAAAACATCTCTCCAGTGGTTAACATTAAATTTTGTTAAATAACTTAAATGATTTTATTCACCTCTACTTACCCTGAAAACTGCTGCAGTGTGAAATCTGACTTGGACAGTGAATTCGTATTTTTGAATTCTTTGAATTTTCTTTGTGTCATATCAAAGATATGACATGTTTTTACCTCTCAGATATGACGGTGTTAAAAAGTCTAGTAAGTAAGAGTAAACTTTACTTAAGAATGAAATTATTATTATCTTGCAAATGAAACCACAAAAGCGAAACTTAATTGCCTAGAATTTGTGCTGGTGTGTCTATCTTGGATAGTCTTTTTTCCGGTTCACTTCGGGGCCACTCGTAAATAGTGAAGAGCAAAAAAAAAAAATAAAAATTTACTATTGAAATTTATGGTTTTTAAATGAGCATAAAAGAAAACTTTACGTAATTTTCCAGTTTTTCCCTTTTTATGCTTTCGCCTGCGCTCGCCTTGCACAAAACTAAAAGCTAAGGAAAAGAAGAGGAGAGAAAACTTTTCTTTCTTATACGTAACATATATTTTACTTCTTTTGTTACCGTTACGAAGACGCAAAGAAATTAAATCAAGAAATGAGGTCAAAAGTGTGGCAAAAAGTACAATGCACCACAGTTTAGTTTCTCGCATACATTTTCTCACACTTTCCCGTTGTTATATTTTTCAGCCTTTGTCTTATTGTCGGTTTTTATGCCTTTCATTAAGTTAACTTTCTTCTTCGTTGAAGAAGAATAGAAAGAAAAAAAAAAACTTGCATTTTTCATCTTAAATGTCGGTAAAGTAAAAGTTCCTCTCCTTATTCCTTTTGATTCTCGAGCATTTCTTTCACTTTTCCTTTTTTTGTCCTTTTTGCATTTTTCCTTTCTTTTACTCATTTCTGCCTTATTATAGAAAAGAAATATAAAACACATGTGTATAGAGAAGTAGTGCGAATGGATAAATGTGTGAGTCTATTAGAAATGACTTCAGGAGTGTGTATGATTTTAAATGAATTATTGTCATAGTTGGCAAAAAAAAAAATATACATATATATATATATGTATAGTGTACACATCTTTAAAGAAGAAAACTATTGAAAAATGTTGGAAAATCATTGGGGTGCAAAAAAGTTTGTTTCCAAAATTTTATGTGTCAAGGGGGAAAAGTTGAGTGAATTTTATTTTAAACAATTTAAACAGACAAAAAAATGTTATGTTTGGCTTGAACGAATCCATTTTACACACACACGCACGCATACTTATATGTATGTATGTACATGTATATACATATTATGTTTTCAAAAAAAGGAAATAGTATCACTGAAGCAACCCGGTGATGCAAACGCCTCATGGAAGACCATACATTTAGAAAAGCGGAAGCTGAATGAACTGAATCTTTCGAATGCGCTATGAGAAGCGAATATTTTTCGAAGCAACAATTCGCTTTCTTGATTTTTACGTGATTTTGTATTCCTGTGCTCCTTCCGCGTACTGCGTCGTAAGAAACTACAAATTAAATTAGATAAGAGGGGTTGCTTTTCAGGGGAGACCCTGTATATAATGTATGTCAAGCTATTATTATGAGCAAATTTTCATCAAGAAATATTGAAAATTATGTCCTTATAAATTTTTATTTTTTGTATAAAGGCTGATATAGAAGGAGGCTCAAAAAATTTCCTCATTCGAATCAAATTTTTGCCCTTCAACACCCGCCTATTTGAATGCTGAAAAACAATTTCCTAGCAATTCTTGCGACTTTTCAAAATAAGGCTTCATGTGAGGAGCGGTCGAATAAATGGTCCGACCCGAGTCATTTTCGATAGCAACCGTCGTTCAACCAAAAGCATGCCATTGTACCAGATTTCATTAAAATTTTTCAAAAAATTCGACCTGAACGTTTCGCACAAAAATAGATGCATAGACATCAGACGAACTGACGGACAGACAAGCGTAGGTCGATTCAGACTCGGTATAATAAAAGCTTGGTGTATTTCAAATCCTTTTTGGTGTTACATATGTACGTACAAATTTGCTATGCCATGTACCCTACATGGTGTAGAGTATAATGGAAAGTGCTGGAGTAAGGACCAAGAAATTTGGTTTTCTACTTCTCGCAAATATTTCTGCTTAATCGAGAGAAGTAACAATTAATCGTGAAACAACTAAAGGGAAGTGTGAAACGCGATTTGGACTA